CCCTGCTATTCACCGACTGGAGTTTGCTTTAGAACCAACCAGAGGTTACGATGACATGCCTTAGCCTGACCCTTAGTCCCTGAGCTTGGGCCCTGCTGTGGACCAGCCCCGGCTCACTGTACAGACGGACGGACGGACAGATGGACAGACGGATGGACAGACCCACCGGCTGACGGGGCTGCTGAAACATTTCCCTCCGTTAACTGAGGAGCAATACACTTGTGACTCGTTTGAGACTTAATAATGGTCTTATTTTTCTAAATTAATATATGTATAAATAAAAAAAATATATATACGGTATATATAATATCGAGAGAATTTTTGTTTAGTTTTTTTTTCTCCTTTTTTTTGTTTTTCTCGGCGAAATGCGGCTCACAACTCCTCTGAAAGATTTTGTACGGCAACAGAGTGCAGTCGTGTTGTCGGCCATTAGACGGAGTGTGCGCGTACGCAGCACATTGTGCATGTGTGTAGCTGTACAGAATAGTACCCAGGCTGTGCTATTGAATGTGGTATTTGTCTTTATAGGAAGCACATGATGTCCCCCCTCTTTTTTTCTTTTTTTTTTCTTTCCTCCCTCTCTCCTCAGACTTTAGTGCTCGCTTGAGCCTCAGGGGCTATTTTTGTTGTTTTTTTTGTTGGTTTTTTTTTGTTGTTTTGCTTCCTGTCCAGTCTGTAATTTAACATGCAAAACCGCAATGTTGTTTGTATAATAAAGTTTTAAGATGATGTTGATATTTACCCTGCGGCACAGAGCTTGTATATAATGGGAGGCTTCTGCAGTAAAGTAATTTTTTTGGTGTGTTCTTTTTTGTTTTAACTTTGTAATTAAAATATGTCATAATTTGTATTTATATTTTACAAAAGAAGTTGCTTTAAAAATAAATATACAAACTGCAAGATTGACAAAGGGCTACGCTCCTTATTGTGTCTCTAATTAATTCCGAGGCTGAGATCTCCGGTTTCAACGTGTGCCAAACCGCTCTAATTGACTAATTATCCCACACTGAGAGCGTGATCCTGTATTGCCATCTCTTGGAAAAACTTTGTATTGTAGGTGTCAGGCAATTTCTCGGTGCAGCCCTCCGACAACAAGCGGCCAAATCCCCCTCACGCCCAAAAGTCGCTGGTTCGCTGCGCCCTCTGGTGGACCACATGTAAAACTGCACCCAATATCGCTTTGGTTCAAATTCCAAATCCTGTGCTGGAGGGCCGCTGTACTGGAGGTTTTAGATGTTTTCCTGCTGCAACCCGCCTGATTTAGAACTGATACACCAGTGGTAGACCTTTTGTAGATGTTTTGAAGATGTCTGTTAAACCTAAATCAGGTGCACTTAAAGAGGGGAAACAAAATCCTCTTAAGGACCGGATTTAAACATTTTAAAACATTAAGAAAAGAAAGTTTTATTTTTAGCTACCGACAGGTGTCAAAGTTGAATCAAAGCAACTAGTTTATCAAGATGTCATCTAAAATAAGGCTGTGAAAAATAAAAAAACATTAATGATAGAGTTAGTTACAGGTATCCCCAATAAGGTTATATATACATAAAATGTGATGTGCAAAACATTTGAACCCAATAAGGAGTTCTAATTAGTGCATTTCAAATGTTGAAACTGAATAATTTGTACAGACAATGGATGGCTGGGTGCTTATAATATCCACAATAAATTTAAATTTAAACATGGACACTATGGTCTTTGCTATCTGAAGCATGGTGCAGAAAAGTATGTTTTTCAAGACAAAATCATTCTTTTTCATACACAAGAAAGATGTATTTGTGTACATTAAATAGAAAGAAAAGGCCTTAAATTTTTATAAAATTACCCCATTCTTAGATGATATCTTACAACTTTTGAGGCATCCTTGTTCTGAAACAGCCACACTGATTCAGAATGGGAATGCAAACCTAGCAATGATGGTCCCCAACAAATACACAGAAGCTGGTGTTGTGCGTCATATTTAAATGATTACATCTCAAGAAAAGCCAAATTTATGGCATGGAGACGAGATATCGGCATCACCCCTCTCTTTTTTTTTTTAGGGATTCATGTGACTTTCCCAACAAGCAGTTCTCACAGAGTGTGCTGCTCCCTTCAAAGTATTGGAACTGGTTGGTATTTAGGGCTTTAGGCAAATTATAATGTGAGCCGTGTGACTGGATGCATTCAGTTTGGTTTGGTGGGGCTCACAGAGCTACCTTAATAACCCACAGTGGATTCATCCAGCGATTATTTGCCACACAAATACTTGAGTATTATTTCTTCTTCTCCCCTATGAATGCCTCCAATCACTCACTAAATATCTGGATTGAAAAGCAGCTGCAGACAAAAGCGTCAGCCTGTGAGGCTGCGAAGAATGTACTGAAAGTCGCTCAAACAAAGCACTTAGAGTTCACTCCAAATCCCCAGCGGGGATTTGTGTTTGCAAAAAAGATCCCTTTCAATCTACAAATGTGAAATTTTTCAGTTTTTTAGTGAGCTACAAGCTAAATATTGAGGTTTTAAAGACTGACACGAGCAATTCAATCTCTTCAGGCCATGTATAAATCTCCTGAGAAATACCGGGCAAAGTAGTTCAGGAGAGCTTTGTGGAATAAAGCCTGAGATTTCTCTGCAGCCCACGGGGTGGAGAGGAGGTGTTCCACGGCAGGCATCCAGGTAAATGTGTCAGACAGGTGTCAGAGGGTGTCAGACAGCTAATTGAGATGCTGAGACAGAAGCTGGTTTTGGAGGCCAAACGGCAAGGCCATTTCCCCAGGCAGGGGGTCACACTCAGCGTGGAGAACTCCCCCCTAACCAAATTCCCTCTCCAGTTAGCAGAAGTATTTAATTACAGATTTAACGACCAGATTCCGAACATAACCAGCTTTTATGGTTTATGAATGGACGTCACCTATGTGAAGAGCTGCAGAAATTACACAGGATTATGGTTTATGGCCATCTACTTCAAAGAAACAGCCTTTTCCTTCTTAACTATTGAGGGAATCATGGGAAAATGATCACTTTTGCAGAGCTCCAGTTGGCCGTTAGTGTACGATTCACAGAGATTTTTTAAAATGATTTTTTAATTGGTTTGGAAAAGATATTGAATCAGTATTGAAATGCCTCAGGGCCACAAGAGGACTTACCAGACAACTATTTTCAATCACAGAACTGCTTTTTAAAAGGGATTCTCTTTGTAAGGAAACCAGTTTTGACTATTTCAGTCAGAACAGTCCTCTCCAATTGTGACAAACCTGTATTCACCTTTCTTTCTCAAAGCAAATTTGGGGAGCTTCTTGAAATCTTGCTGAATGAGAATGACGGATTGGGAAGCATGCCCACTGAAGTCAATCACTGACATCTTTTTTTATTTTTTTTTAGCATTTCTACTCTCGGGTTTGTTCTTTTGTAACCGTCAGGTGAATTGAAAATTCCAATTTCTTGCACAATGATTTTCAGCTGTGTTTGAGGTTTTAGCGTTGCCAGGAAATTGTTTTCAATCAATTTCCAACTGAGAGAAATACTAATGGGTACATAAATTCCAGAAAAGTAGTTTCAGAGGAACAAAACGAGTGATGTCTGGTCAGGGATGACAAAGATCACAAGTTTCAGATAGAAAAAAAAGATCAGGCCAAGGGAAGTCTGGACAGATTTTAAGATGCCATTCCTCTGCCTTCAGCATCACAGGTTACCACCCAACTCATACAATGCGTCTGCACACGTTACTAAAGTCAACCCTCCACCTCAATCACGGACAGATCAAGACACAATAAAACCCCTCTGTCTCTTCCTGCATGGCTGTCAGTCTCAGTTGAAGAGGTAGGAAGTAAGACTGAACCAAAACAAGGCAGCGGGTCCACAGATTGACAGCTGCAGGGTTCTGCAGGTATGTGCTATGTGAGGTTCCACTGTACCTAATCAAATGAAGTCTGAGTGAAGAGAAAATTCCACTGGTCTGGGAAAAAAAACACACTTACATGGTATCAGTATCAAAGCATTTAAGTTGTTAAAAGAACCACTGAGGTGGTTGAGGGAACGATAAATTGGAGTATGCTGAGAGAGAAAAGGAAACACCGGACTATTCATTCTAAGGACACAAGATTTTTATTATTTGCACAAAGATTAAGATAAAAAAAAACACTTACCAGACTTCTACAGCTACAGTGTAGACACAGATACAGGAGGTCTGCAGCTATTACAATTCATTTTCAAAGCTTGCAATGCTTGTTCAAAGAAATAAAACATGCAGAGGTATGATCTGAGGCAATTGTCATTTCTTGTTCTTGCTTTGATGTCTTTATAATTATCATTGGATGAGCCAATAAATCATGAAATATGTTTCTTCTGTGAAGCTTCTAAAAAACTGTTTCTGATTTGTGATGTGATTCTGTGCTTTTAAACTATAAAGTCAAGACTGGAGGGGTAAAATAGCCTACATAACTTGTTCAATTTCAGTTTTTACGCAGAACATTTTGAGTAAAAAAAACAGACAAAAACAAAAAACAAGTTTTCAACTTTTATTGTCCAACCAACGCCTCATGTCAAAGCCCGTTAGCTGCCCTGGAGCTCTCCTTTTCCCATCATGCTTTGCTCTATCGGGACTTCTGGTCAGCTGATCGTTGCCGTCGCAAGGAGAAAGATGTCGCTGACGAACCGCTTGAGGATGGAGGCTGTTTTTTCCGTCGTATTGGTCATCTGTTCGTTTGTCAGGCCAGGTAAAGAAAACCATCGACATCCAACAGTCGTTCTTCGCCGCTTGTCACGATTTTCTTTGATTTAAT